GGTCCCGCTCCCCACTCCCTTCCTGTGTAAATAAACAAATCATTTTATTATTATTCAAGTTCCTGTCTCCAGTGTTGTTCTTGGTATTTGCTCACGTTGACTCTTGTCAAAACCTGATGGTATGCTTCAGCCAAGCAGTATGTCCGTGAGCAATACTGGGGACAATTCTGGGTCCGACACATCTTCAGAACAAAAACTGAATGAACATGAACGTATGTTAAATCAGTTGTTTCAGTTACATCTAGAAACTAAATCTATGTTAAATCAAGTCTCTCAAAGTGTAATCTCAATTGATAACAGACTAAACACCATTGCTCCCCCCGCTCCAGCGCACTCTCCAGTTCCTGCCACACCGGTACCAGCTTTTTCTCCCCGGGAACCCGAACTCAAGCCATCCGAATTCTTTGATGGTAACGTAAATCAATGTGGAGGTTTTTTGCTGCAATGTAGATTAGCCTTTGCCCGATCTCCCTCTCTTTTCCCCAATCACTCAGCACAAATCAGATATATTGCAACCTCTCTTAAAGGGAAAGCTTTGAAATGGGCACAAGCCTTTTTGTCGGCTCATTCTGCTCAAACCCTCACCATTCAAGTTTACTCTGAGAGTTTCAACGTGTGTTTGATCACCCTCTCCAGCAGGAGGCAGCAGCTAAACATCTAATCAATCTGCGCCAGGGGAAGAGGTCTGTTGCTGAGCACTTCGTGGACTTCTGCATTGCTGCTGAGGAGGCAGGTTGGGAAGAATTGGCACTTAAAGGTATCTTTGTAAACTCATTATCTGAGCAAATAAAGGATCAGTTGGCCTCCCGGGATGAACCCGGGAGCCTGGACGAATTAATTGCTTTGTCTATCTGCATTGACAACAGACTCCGTGAAAGGAGAAAAGAACGGGACTACAACTCCCAGAATCCCTGGAGACCTGTTTCCGCACCCAACAACGAGCTTCCACTTCCCGATACCTCGCCAACTGCTAACGAACCAGAACCCATGCAGGTCGGACGAACACGATTAACACCAGAAGAAAGGCAGAGACGTTTTCAAGCAAAATTATGCATCTACTGTAGAAATCCGGGACATTTCGTCGCCTCATGTCCGCTTCGGGGAAACAGGCCAGTTGGTCAGTAACCCAGGGGAGGCTGACGAAGGACATTAAATTCTCCCCTCACTCATTACTCTCATTACCTGCCACAGTCATGTTTCAACAAGTTAAATTACCCATTTCTGCTCTCGTTGACTCTGGTTCAGAACAAAATCTTATCTCCAGCAACCTGGTTGAACAATTAGGCATACCTATCTCATTACTCGACCCCCCCCGTTCCATCACCGGACTTACTGGACAACAACTCTCCCAGGTTAAATACAAAGTTACAGATCTTCATGTGATTGTGTCTGGAAATCATCACGAGATGGGTGAGTTTTTTGTTTTTGATTCTCTTACCCCTCAACTTATCTTTGGTTTCCCCTGGCTCTGCACCCATAATCCTGTGTTTAACTGGAAAGAAAGGAGAATAGAAAGTTGGAGTTCTCACTGCTCTCACAGGCTTCTTTTTTGTGGCCAAGAAAGACAAGACCTTGAGACCCTGCATTGACTATAGAGGGTTGAATCAAATAACTGTTAAAAATAAGTATCCGTTACCTCTCATTGACTCTGTCTATGATCAGCTCCATTCCGCCGCCATACAGTATTTACCAAACTGGATCTTAGGAATGCTTATCKCCTTGTTCYTATTAAAGAAGGTGATGAGTGGAAGACTGCCTTTAAAACTCCTCTTGGTCATTTTGAATATCTTGTGATGCCTTTTGGACTGACTAATGCCCCCGCTGTGTTTCAAGCCCTGATTAATGACGTTCWAAGAGATTTTCTCAAAGACTTTGTATTTGTTTACCTCGACGATATCCTCATTTTCTCCCGCGATCAAAAACAACATGAACTACATGTTAAAGATGTTCTTCAACGCCTGTTTGAGAACCAACTTTTTGTCAAAGCTGAAAAAGTGAGTTCAATGTGACCTCAGTCTCATTTTTAGACTTCATTCTGGAGAAGGGGCAGTTCCGTACTGATCCGGAAAAGGTCAAAGCAGTGACCGAGTGGCCAATCCCTAAGGATTGCAAGCAGCTACAACGTTTCCTGGGGTTCGCCAACTTCTACAGACGGTTCATCAAGGACTACAGTAGAATCGCTGCTCCTCTCACCCAACTGACATCAACTCTACGAACTTTCACCTGGACTCCTGAGGCTAATAACGCATTCGGTGAGTTAAAGACTCGTTTCTCGCAGGCCCCCATCCTTTGCCACCCCGATCCCAAAAAACAATTTTTCATTGAGGTTGATGCCTCGGATCTCGGGGTAGGAGCTGTACTGTCACAGAAGTCTGAATGCAGTGACAAGCTACATCCATGTGCTTTTTTTTCTCGACGACTATCACCTGCTGAGACCAACTATGATGTGGGAAACCGAGAGTTATTGGCCATAAAACTTGCTCTCGAGGAGTGGAGACACTGGCTCGAAAGTACAGAGACGCCCTTTGTCATTATGACTGACCACAAGAATTAGGCTTATCTCCAAAATGCAAAACGATTGAATCCACGACAAGCCCGTTGGTCTTTATTTTTCACCAGGTTTAACTTCACTATCACTTACATCCCGGGACCCAAAAATATTAAATCAGATGCTCTCTCCAGACTGTTCTCTCCATCAGATTCTCCCGAAAAGGTCCACCATTCTACCCAACACCTGTTTCATGGGGACCCTTACCTGGGACATAGAAAACACCATTCGCCTGGCTCAACAATCTGATCCGGATCCTGGAACTGGACCTCCTGGCACGAGATTTGTACCTAAAGCAGTAATTGGTAAAGTACTGGACTGGATTCACAACCATCGCTTTACTTGTCACCCTGGCATCTCCRGCATGATCAGTTTTGCTAAAAGACATTTCTGGTGGTCCTCCATGAACCAAGATATTAAAGAGTTCGTAACCGCTTGTACCGTCTGTGCCACTAATAAGAGCAGCAACCAGCAACCCGCGGGTCTCTTACGTCCACTACCCATCCCTGCCCGCCCATGGTCCCATATCGCCCTGGACTTCGTTATGGGTCTACCTCCATCTGAAGGTAGCACGGTCATCCTCACTATAATCGACAGATTTTCTAAAGCTGCTCATTTTGTTCCACTAGTGAAACTTCCCACAGCCTTTGAAACTGCTCAGCTGTTAGTTAAGAATGTTTTTCGTCTTCATGGTATCCCCTCCGATATTGTCTCTGACCGTTGACCCCAGTTTATCTCCCAGGTATGGAAGGCCTTTTGTGCTGCACTAGGTGCTGCAGTCAGCCTCACTTCTGGTTACCACCCACAGTCTAATGGACAGTCCGAGAGGTGCAACCAGGAGTTAGAGTCCACACTGAGATGCGTCATCAATAACAACCCTTCCTCCTGGTGTACATACTTACCTTGGGTGGAATACTCCCATAACTGTCATACCTCATCTGCCACCGGTTTCTCTCCTTTTGAAGCATCTCTTGGTTATAACCCGCCTTTGTTCCCCAGAGAGGATACCGAGATCTTGGTCCCTTCAGTCCAGCATCACATCCGCCGTTGCCATAGAATCTGGAACCAAACACAGAGGGCACTACTCAGGACTTCACAACAAAACAAGCGCTTTGCTGATCGACATCGTTCATCCGCCCCATCTTACAGGGTGGGACAAGAGGTATGGCTTTCCACACGTGACATTAATCTAAAAGATTTTCCCAGGAATTTATCTTCCAGGTTCATCGGCCCATTTCCTGTGGAAAAGATCATCAACCCATCTGCTATTAGACTCCGTTTACCAGCATCCATGAAGATTCATCCCACTTTTCATGTGTCACAACTGAAGCCTGRCTCCACTAGTCCCCTGTGTCCTCCTACCTACACCGCCCCCACCTGCTGGATAACCAACCCATCTACACGGTCAAAAGGATTTTGGACGTAAGGAGAAGGGGATGTGGTCTCCAGTTCCTTGTGGACTGGGAGGGCTATGGACCTGAGGAGAGGTCATGGATCCCGAGGTCTTTCATCTTGGATCCTACGCTCATCTCAACCTTCTACAGGGAACATCCCGAGAAGAAGCCGTAGATCGCCTGGAGGCGATCTTTAAAGGGGAGGTACTGAGGCATTTTGGTGATTTTCACCTCATGCCTCCCCGTTACCTGGCAACGCTGATTGAACGCACCCACTGATTGAACGCACCTGCAAAGGAACTGGCTCATCACTGCTGGCTTTAAAAGGAAGACTGGAGGATCAACTCATCGCTGAAGCATCAAACCGCTTTGGGTAAAGATCTCAGCCTAAGACTAGTTTTTGTAAACTTGGTTTGTCTAACTCCTGTGTTTTCTGTGTACTTACCTGTCTCCAGAAATAAGGAAATCACCCCGGAACTGTTTTGGATTCTGATCAAGTCTGCCTGCCTGCCGAGCCTCTTACCTGGTCCATGCGTTGCCTCTTCACCTCACAATCACCTGTAAATACGACACGCACATGTAAATATCACGTTTGGATTTTTGGACTCTGGACCTACTCCTCTACGCTTAACCCAAAGCCCTCACTTGTAAGCATAAACTATAATCTATCGAACATTACCTCCTGAATATCTTTTACTTACCTCTGCAACTCCTCTGCTTCCAGGTCCCGCTCCCCACTCCCTTCCTGTGTAAATAAACAAATCATTTTATTATTATTCAAGTTCCTGTCTCCAGTGTTGTTCTTGGTATTTGCTCACATTGACTCTTGTAAAAACCTGATAGTCACAGCTAAATGTATCTTAGTTTTATGGATGTTGAGCTGAAGTTTGGTGTGGTAGTAGCTGAGAATCATCTCCATTATATATTCTGAGCTCATTTTCAAAGATTCACAAACATAGAAACAATTAAATGATCATTTTTCTTACTGTAAGTTGAAGCATCTTCATCAGTGTGTTCCTCAAGTTTTCAGCGTCTCACCTGTGTCCATGTCCCGTCGTCATGTCTCCTCCTCCCGCAGGACTGGGGAACTCCAGCATACTTCTCTGAATTTTTCTCTTTTGTGTGATTCACCTGTAGCCTGGTGCGTGAAGCCGACTTCAGTCTGAGCTCAGGTTTCAACAGAGATAAGGAAAGATAGCGAGGAGGTGTCCTGTTAAATATTTGTTTTAGTCAGATAAAGTAAAGCCTTTTTAATGATCAGGAAGCAAAAGTTTGATTTGAGGTCTTTGAAGTGATGGGCTCTGACAGAGCCAACGAGGAAGTTGAGAGAACTCATACATGCCAAATTGCAATATAGGGCAATGTTGCAGATTTTTTTCAAAAACACAGCTTCAAATTTAGTTTACGTCTCAGAGCCTCTTGGAGTTAAAAATAAATACAATATCAACAACTACTGTATCTTCCAACCCACTCTGTCGCTAGAAATAAGTCCTCCACTTCCCTGTATCCTTCTCTCCTCCTCCTTTGCACTGCAGGCACTGTTATCTCTGTGGCCGACAGTCAGCCTGGGAAACTCAGGTTCACCAGAATAATATAATATTTAATAATATAAACCACAAACTCAGACACAGTGCTGTGTTTACAGTTTAAACACAACCTGTTGGCTTGTTTTGATAAAGACGCTGGATTGGTTTGACCAAAATTTGGGTCAGGTGATCTGGTTCAGCTCAGTTCTGTTGGCAGTGTTTTTAATCTGAATTAAATACCTGACTCAGCTGAATCACTCCAGACTCAGGTGTTTTTAAGGTGAATTTCGGGACTTTCCAACAGTCTGCAGAGAACCAGACAGATCTGGATTATCTGGGACTCTTGAGTTCTAATTCATTGAAAGGATTCAGATCATTAACCTGGGTATAAATGACTCCAAAATACTCACAGTACTTAAGTAGTTCTTTTGAGGACTTGTAAGTTTTCAAATATTTTTAATGGCTACTTTTACTTTTATTTCTTTACATTTTAAAGCTAAAAAATATACTTTTACTTGTTTACTTTAAAATGCAACACCTAGTTACTTGTTACAAAATTAAATATGTTGGAACTCATCATGAAAGATGTTTCTGCACTCTAAAACATGAAGTGTTGAATTAACTCAACCAAGTCATGTCAACTGCCTCCAGTAAACCTAAATGAGAAAAAATATATAAATATATTGGTKATTTTACTGCCTTAGTGGAACCAGTTTGGTTCAGTAAATCTTTATCTTTATTTATTTAACAGGGACAATGCAAACACAAACATAGAACAGATCAAGTCTGTAACTGATGCGTTGCAGAAAGAGTATATAGCTACAGCGAATTTGCAAACTGATGCGTTGCACAAAGAGTATATAGCTACAGCGAATTTGCAACTCCAGTCCTTGGTTGGGCATTTCTACACAAATAAAGTACATACAGTTTATGCATCCATATACACTATAAATACATAAGCATGTCTGCCAAGAAATTCATGAAATCAGCCAATAGAGCTTACAAATTCAACAGTTTATTTCTTAGAGAGTGTGTAAAAGTACTTTTACTTTCCCAATTTTTGTGAAGTTTTGTGAATAGTTTTCTCATCAGTGAAATTTATTTTTACTCAAGTCATTTTCTGTTCATGTAATTTTACTTTTACTTAGTTATTTTTTTCAAGTACTTTATAGGCCTCTGCTTATTTGAGGAT